ACAGTTGCAGCAGTTTTTTGATTGTATGACTATAATAATTGAACTTAATAATCTCGATATATCTATCTAGTCGACTAGATAGATTAATCTCTATATCAACTATATCTAGTTGACTGAAGCTTTAGATGTGGTAACATGGATGCATTTGCTGTTGGATTTTACTTAACTCATCATCAGACCGCTGCCTAACCTGCTGACATTAGTGCAATGAAAGTTATCAGTACAATAGTTATAAATACCTTTGAAACATGAAACATTATTTTTGAGTCTTTATGAAGGCATGTTGCTTCTGCATACAGACTGATTAACTCGGACACATTTTATGTGTTTGTGAATTTAATAGCATTATACAGTCATGCAAGTAAATGCCTCACTGCCATTGATATCCTTTAGTATCACATTAACCTTTCACCATTGTTGAGACAGAGACTAGCAAAATGGCACAGAGTTCATTTGCTTCTCCACACTGTTGTAAGATGTTCCCTGACTGAAGTGCCTGTGAAAGGACAAACTCGTCTCTCACAGCTCCTGTCCTCTGCACTGATAAAGACCTCAATTTCCCATCACAGAGCAATAAAAAGAGACGACAGCACTGACAGACACGTACAAGCATGTACAAGCCAGCAGAGATGAGCTCTGCCTGTATGTCTGATTGCCTGTCTTCTTTTTGTCTGCCTCTCTGTCCGTTTCTTTTACTAAAAGCCCACTAGCAAGTGTTTGATGGACAGGATGGTATGTAGTTTAACTGAACAAGGAGCACATTTCATGGTACAGTAAAACATTACTAAACTAAACAACTAAATCCTATTTGTAAACTGAACTGATCTTCATAGGATGATAATTTCATATATAATGTCTCTTGTCTCTGACGGTTGGTACAGTGAATGGGGATGAGTCAGTGAAATTGAATTGGCTCAAACCCAAACTTGAGTCAGTCTCCCCCATGTGGATGGCTCCACTGATGGTCACATTATTAGATGGGGGAGTTCAACTCTTTCAGCTTTTAGCGGACAAGTTGCTCAACTACTTTTTATCTGTCCCAGCTGGTGTTACCGAACATGACCTGGCAGGTAAACTATAGCCTTTACTTTACACTTTACTTTATCAGTGGGAGAGAAACCACACTAAACAGCACAGCGAGCCATTAACACAAGAAAGAATGCACATGTAGTCCTGCAAAAAAAGAAGGGACAAAGAAGCTTGAGTTGCCGCTTAATAGATATGTAAGAGAAAGAGTTTGGAAGGAAGAGAAAGAGATGGAGGGAGAGTCTGACGAAGAGAGAAATAGAATTAAACACATTAAACATACTTTCCCTCGCCTCTGTCTTCATCCATTCATCTATCTTCATCTGATTGCAAGACAGCAAATAGATGAAGTGTTAAAATGGACAAAAGAAAAAGAACCAAGTGAAAGAAACTGATGCAAAATTATAAAGAGAGGAAGAAATGTGGTCAAAGAAAGACCATGTTGTTAGACTGAATGCTTTTCATCTTTCCTCACAGTTGTGTCAGTATCACACTGCTGAGCAGTTTATCGGGGAGGACAGAGCACAAGCATGCTCATGCAAACACACACAACTCATTGTTTACCTGAGAAGACATGATGCTCACACAGTGTAAGTGAGTTGTAGCCCTGGAAAAATTGCTCTGGGACCTGTTGTTGCAATGTGTTAGTGTGTGTGTGTGTGTGTATGTGTTAGTGTGTGTTAGGCTTCCAGAGACAGAGACAGAGACAGAGAGAGACAGAGACAGAGAGAAAGAGAAAACTGCCTTCCACACTGTCTCCCCTCATATTCTTCCATTCAGTATTTGACAGTGTGCGATAAAACCAAACATGGGTTACCTCATGCCACAGTTCACAGCCATGGGGCGAAAAGAGGCAAATCCCGCAACGAATACTCTGGTTGATCAGTGGTCCTCCTCACCTCACTGTGCACATCTACTGCTGAATATTTAATGAACATAATCCGAGCCTGTATTTTATTATGCATCTTATAATCACTAGTAGGAGAGTGATTTAAGAAGCTTCCTACACCGACTTTCATAGGTAAAATCATAAGTGGAGAACATGGTACCACTTTTGTATGTGTATAGGCAAAGTTATCTAGGCTATATATGCATACATTCAAATTCTTGAATTTAACTTTTATCAGTGTTCATTATTATTATTATTATTATTATTATTATTATTATTATTATACTGCTAATAATAGTGTTGTAATGTATTGTTGTTTGTGTAATGGCATAATTAGTACGACTGCAAAACTCATCACAGCCCTGTATGTCGTGTTTTCTCATAGTGTCCCTGACAGAACTTGAACAAATACTGACCGATAGTGATTCTTTATAAAAGCGTTGCATGTCAGGAATAGAAGTCATTGTTGCTCTGTAGTAAAGGTAACATAAATGAGTGTAAATAAATAAAGTATATCTTCTTCTTTTTCTTCTTCTTTGTATAGTTCGGTGGTAGCAGTAATTCACTAGCTAAACCTGTTGTAAGTGTGAAAATCAAGTTTTTTTTAAAAGCGACTCACTAGCTGTTTGCGTTAAACATTTCTATAGTAACAACAATCAGAGACATCGCTTTTATACTTTGGATTAGGATTGTGGGTACTGTTGTACTTCTTCATGAGAAAAAAGTTGATATCATACGGACTTGTGGCTTCAACAGCAGAATATACGATCGTTTCACAATCTCAAAGCTCCTGGTATATCTAGCTTAGAGGGTTATGGCTATAATCAAAATCTTCGATTCTGAATATAAATAGGATTTTTACTTTCTGAACCTCACTGCTGAGGTCTCTATGCTCAGTGATCAATGAACATCTCTCCTCCCGTGTGCGCTCATGTCTCTGCCTGAAAACTATAAACTGTGATAACCAGCTTTTACTCCTAACCTTAAAAGTAGCGCCAAGTATGCGTCACTCTGAGAATATTTGTCCTGTTAAGAATGATTTCTGAATTTGAGATGATTGATTGATTGCTCAACTCATTCTGAACTAAATGGTGTGTGTGGTATGACCCATCAAAATGTGGTTCTGCTGACAAAGACCCAGATGCTGACTTTATTGACTGACAGTGACAGCACCGATGGAAATTTTACTGTGATATAGCCACAGTTAATTATTCATAACCATAATTAAGCTATAAGACAACCATTTGAATGGAAGATCATGAAGGAAAAAAACATGTAATAAGTCCAAAATCAGCTTCAAAAAAGTATTCATAATGCAGCTGCCAAGTTTTGGTTCACAGCTTTGGCAGAAAAGTTGTTTGAACTGGTTTAACTGCCAGGTATCAGCGGAATAACAGAGTGAGCAGAGCACTACACGTTCTTAGTGGATAGATTTACTACAGAAGAGAGTGCTGATGTGATATATTCAGCTTTGGAGATGATATTGAATCTGTAACACAGTAACACACAGCAGCAGATCTCTGTTTAAAGAAAAGCTGACCCGTTCATAATCAATCTTACATACATTATATTAGATGATACATAAATGTTGTGTAATCATGGCCCATACTTTTATGTTACCTGCACAGTGTCTTGTGTATTATATTTTATTGCATGAATGTATTGCTTTTACATTCGATCAAAATGTTTCATAACACAGGACACACTGCACTGTACAAGCAAACATTGTCTCTTGTGATGGTTAGATTGCAGTCAGTACTGTAGTTCTTACTTTTATTTTGGTTATTTAATTTATATTCGATCCAGCATCTGAAGGCTTTGATAGAATCTAGTTTCATTTCCACTGTTGCTGCTTCTTAAGTTGAGGTCTGTCAGGCTTAAGGCACTTAATATTGTAGCATTGCCACGTTGAGATTCTCAGCACCTGCTGAATCAGCTGGTATGGAAATAATGATGCCATCCTGAATGTATGAGCATTATGTTTATGTAGCATTATTGTTATATTTGACATTTTTTGGGGGTGGGGGGTTAATAAACTCTCATTAACTGTTTTTGTGGGGCAGCAGGAACAGGCTGTACACAAAACTGACACATTACTACATTTTAAGTTGATATGGCAAAGCTGTTAGGTAACAGTTGCCTATTTACTGTACACATCCAGCAGACACGGAGCAGCATTCGTTTGGAGTTGTTTCTCTGGCCACCTGATCACTCTCCTTTTAGCTCTGTTTTGGTCTCTCCCAACTCTTGTGGGAAATATCTGTTTCTTCAGCTGCTACATGTTCTACTTTATTCACTAGCTATGCTAACTTCGTCTGTCTGCTGTTTGGTGCTGGACAGGTTGTGTAAAGTGGGTTTTTAGAGCTTTTTCAATAACAGGTTTATTGAGAACGTTGAGAGTGAACCAAAACAGTAAAGCGTGGGAGGTAAAAAAACAAAAACAATGAGCTGAAAGATGCTAAAATGCAACAAGCTGAGGGGACGAGCATTTTTTTATATTAACGATGTTAATATAAAAATATTGATTGGAGTAACTTTAAACACTTAAAGTCTATGGGTTTGTGAAATTAATGTGCAACGTGTAACATTTCAACGTCAATAAATCACTCCTTTTAAGACATTGAAGATGGTGTCATCACCATAAACACTGACACCATTTGTACTGTATTGTGTTGCACTGTATTTTGGCTGTGGCTCAGGTGGAGCTAATGTGTAAGGCGTGTAATGTGTAAAGCACTTTGGATTAAAGTGCTGTTTAAATGCAGCCACTTATTTACCCTTTGTTTGACATCTGCTGAGATTCTTTATGGCAAAAAGAGAGGCTGTCTATAATGAGGCTGTTAATGAAAAAGGCCAATATATTTTTTAATGTTCTTTGTCTCTGTCTGCCTAACTTGTCAGAATACATATGAGTTTTTACCAATCCTTATTTATTTGTCTCCTGTCTCACATATCAGGGTTTATGGGATGTGGAAATGTGGTTTGTGGAATTGTGCGGCAGCCGATGTTAAAGGTGCACCTAGGCTAATTTGTGCTGCAGTTTTAGTGGAAGCCTTCCATATTTTATAAATATATATTGCCTCACCTGTCGGATGGCACACAGCAGCTTCCCATAGCAGAACACGATCACCAGGAACGGCACGATGAGGCAGAAGACAAACAGGCAGATGATGTAAGAGATGTTATTCGCTGTCTTGGCCGTCCAGTCAACAGAGCAGGTGGTCCCGGGACCCTCTGGGCCATAGCTGCTCCAGCCAAAGAGTGGCGGCAGGGTCCAGATGAGGGAATAGACCCAGGTCAGGGCGATGCCCAGGGAGATCTTGCAGTAGTTGGAGGAGTCCGCCTCGGCGGGCTCTATCATGGTGCTGTAGCGCTCATAGGAAAGGACAGCCAGGGAGATTAGGGACACGATGCCTACAGGGTACACAGGGCAGACACATACATAGGTAACCATAACATGCAGTGTAGGAACATACCACGCTAACAGTTAACAGAATTAGTTAAATACAATACACATCAAACATAACACTGTAGACGATATGTGCAGGTGCTCCAAATGTTCATCTACTCTAGCGAGAAAAGCATACACTGTCACTGTGATATAAAGCTTCACAGCTCTCTCTGAAATCAGAAGTGCAGCTAAAATGAGCTTTATGGTTTACAGCTTCAAAGAGAGGGCGGGTTACAATTTTGAAAAATAATTGCCAAATCGAAAGTGCAGCATAATAAAACTATAACAAATGTGGTTGGGGAATCATCTAATATTTCACTTCACATGCCGGGGGCCTGCAGCAGATTCACACTGCTGTAAATCATAAACAGCCACACTACCTGTAGTGTCTCTCGCTTGATGGAAGCAATGCAGTGAAAAACAGCCTCGAAGATTTTGAGAAGCTTTCTTATCTTTCTGTAACCGCTCAAATGAACACACACACTGTATCTCGATATCTCAATGGCTTTGTTTCTCAGTATTTCAGACGCAGAGCAGCAAGAGCCTGGAGCTCAGTGACACCTCAGCCTTTTTATCCTGTTTGCTATTTGTTTTGAAGCCATTGTGATCCAAGAGGCCATCCTTCATGCCTATTGATTTTCAATGGTAGTAAAGCTGACCTCAACCGGATGCTCCTATAAGAAGGCGGTCCATGCCTTTCACTGAGGTGTCAACACTGCAGCTACTCAGCACGATGAATGAATAAAGATAAAAGTGAGGAGGGGGAAAAAAGTTAGAGCCAGTAGACCAAGATGGGAACACATTTTAGCTCTGTGATTGAAGATGATGATTTTGCAGAATGTTTTTGTGTCTGAGTGCACTTGCGTTGTGCAAAATCATTGACCACATTGCAGACCCTGACTGCAGAGTTTATTTGGCACAGCGTGTTATGCTTGGCTGTTGCCCCCAGATATTGCGCTCATGTTGCTTTTCCTGCATAGACTGCTTAGCTCTGGGCTTTTATTAGCTCTGTTACTTCAATATTACAAAGTCAACACAGTTTTATAACAACCCACTTGTGTTTCTGTTTGATCTGTACTCACTAACTCATAGCAACCAGACCCATACAGATTTTCCATATATTTTGACAAAAGATGCTTTCAACCCTGCTTGCCTATCACAACCAGCCTGTGAATTTTCTGCTGTTATTTAAAAAGAAAGCATAGGAAAATTGTTTTCCAACAACAGGTGGACTGGCTGATCTTGTCTTTAAGATAAAATCTTTGCGATTTGTGTTTTTAGCCTTGTGTCATTAATAAACACTGAAATAGTGCAATAGCAACACTTGTTACTGTGAACCCCAACCTGATAGAAGTACCTCCAGTATGTTTTAGAGCAGGGAGTTTAAAGTATGCAGAATTTATTTTAGATTTGTGATTAGTTCTAATTGGATAATGATTTTTTACAGTTCAAACAATGGCCACAAACGCACTAATTTCTGATTGGTCTGGAGCGATCCTTTAAATCACCCAACAGGACACCTCCAACACCGTCCTTGTCATTGCACCCAATATTCTGCATTCCTGCCACCCAATATACGTACAAACTGATACATAGCTACACTACTGCGGTTGCTTGCTAACAGTTCAGCTACCTTTCACTAGTGAAATGGACCTAACCATTGGGTAAACTAAAAACAAGCTTTTAAAAAGAGAGTCTCTTGTTAGGAGCGAGAGTGGCACATGACATACTGCTACTAAAGGAGCTGCTTGTTTCCTGTGTCCTACCAAGTAAGTAGTTCTTCTTTTAACCATGACCAGTATTGTTTCCTAATCTTAACTAAGCAGAGCTTAACATTTAGATCTAACGTCTCATATAACTTGTCCTAAATATGCTCAGAATAATGGCATGTTTAAATGTCTACAATTTCAACTCAAGTTTTTTTTTTATAAAGAAACTATATTATTCCCTGAATTTAAACCTTAACCATAGTGATGGCAGATGATCAAAGGGTCATATAAATCTTAAATGAAAATCTTTTTTAATACAGCCTCATGTTTGCCTGTGTTAAATGGCTATAGTATATAGGTGTTTTTTGTCCAAATACCAACTCTGACACCTCAGCCCAGGGTACCTGCTGATAACAAGAACTGAACCAGTACCAGTGCTCTTATTTAAAATCTGTATACCTCACTGCAGGGAAGTGACTGGGATCATTTTTTGTGAGGTAACATTAGGCGAGGGATTGCACTTGCACTAAGAGTTGTCAGCCTGGCATGACTGTAAATGCAAAAACACTGAATTTGAAAATGAAACTGACTTAGAAAACTGTATTTAATATGCATTGGTAACGTCTGTCCAAAACCTGAACTACTCAATAAGGTCAGTAGTGCATCCACTGATCCAGTGTATTGGATCCCTAATGGTATGAGCAAGGTTTTTTTCTTAGATTTCCTGATAGATAAAATAACCGACAAGAAAAGGCAGAGGAAAAAAATGCTACAATCAATAAGACCTTAATTTCTGATATGTCTCTCTGTGAGGCCTTCCATCCCAAAGCACTGGTTGGCAGCATGCAATATAGCACATCTTTGAGATGACAGATGGACAACATCTAGTATAAATGTCTCCATTGTCCATTAACCAGCTTTGATTGGGGATCCAAATTAAATCACACTTTCTCAAAACTACAAAAGCTAATTAGCAGCTCTCGCCATGACTCAAATACAGAGCCATCAAAATGTAATACTTCCAGCCATCATGTTGCTGAACCAATTTAAGGCTACCTTCTACCCCAGGGCTCTACAAAAGTATCGTGGTTGATTGTGATTCATGGGATTCTTCATTTAATACAAAAACTTGATTATATCAGCTGATCCTATCACATGTCCACCGTCTTTTTGAAAGCAGCTCTTTCTCTTGTTACACAGTGTATGAGTGGACATCTTCATTAGAGGTAATGTACTGTCATAGAGAAAGACACCCTCACAACTTTGGATCTAACTCCACAGCATCTGAAATCAAATTTCACCCTCTATCCATCTTCTAGTCCTCTGGCAGGATCAAAGGCAGCAGCTGAATCTGATATTCCAAAATGAAACATCTTATGATCTGATAATGTCTGAACTAAAACAAAGGAGCATCTTTGTTCTGCTGTCTCCCTCACTGCATCTGCCTAATTTGTCTGTTAGAAAGCATCTCGTTCAGTATCACTTGTCTGATACTGTGTATCCAGGAACAGACAGTTTGAATGAAAAACACAGGATCAAATAAAGCTGTGTTTGCTCTGTAAATCCCATCCCAGTGTATTTTCCCTCAGTCGTCACAGGTGCACAGAACTACTGTGACACCACTGCCTTTTGTCAAATAGCAAATGGATGGCGCACATTAAGGATGACTTTATGGCAAGTCACTATGTACAAAGACGATTATTCACACTAATGTCCAAATCAAACCAGACACCTTTCACCCACAAAACATGTTTTTGCCTCTGCTATAAGAGTTCCTAATTCACTATTTATTAAACAAGCTCATTAGCTGGCTCGCTCACTCTGACCTTTATGGCGCAGCAAATTAACATCACTCAGGTCAGGTGTTGGCTGTGTCTGCGTGATGCACATGTAAATGTACAGTGTCTCTCCTCTGTACATGTTCATCCATTTCTGTGCCGGTTTACATGTGAGCGTGAGCGCAGGAGTGGAATCTGACTTCAGTATGCAGGGAGTGGGCACTGCAGTGCAAGGTTAATGTGTGCAGAGTCCACTTGAGGCACAAGGAGGCAGCCAGCAGTATGCAGGAACACACAGACCTGGTGTCAAATAAAGACAGAAAAAAAAGATCCTCTCTTGTTCCTCCACAGTATAATGGAAGACAATAAAAGTTCAGTGAGATAGAGAGGAAAATGCAAAGAGTTGGGCAGAAGAGGTGAAGCAGCTAAATAGGTGCCAAGGGGCTGAAAGTACAGGGTGAGTGTGTATCCACACACAAGCACACACACACGCATCTCCACAAATTGTCTTCAGTTTGTTCTCTTGGCTTAAAGTCAAAGCAGTGGGTCTTCAATTGTTCACTCATTCAGAAATCTAAGATGTTATAGGCCAAAAGCAAGCGAGCAAAAAGTAGAAATCGATGTGTAGAGGGAGCGGGAATATAATGTCCTAACACCAGGCTAACAATGTCTTTTGTCATTGACAGTGATGCCCTCTAATTTGAAGGAACATCCGTCATTCAGAAAAGCTTTATAGAGATTTGGTGAAGACAGACACAGTCACTTTGTCAAAGCTGCACCCAGTATTATTCATCCAAACAATCAATTTCAGTTTTCCGTTCTCTGACCCTCCCTCACTCTTTCTTTCACTCAGTTTTTATGAGCCCATTGAGGAATTACTCATCCATAACCAATGGAGGCTCTAATGATGTCTGCGAGCCATCTCTCTCTCTCTCTCTCGTCTCTCTCTCCCTCGTCACTCACACAGCCACCACCACACACACACACACTCACCTCTATCTCTCTCACCACTCTCTATCTCTCTCACTCACTCCACTTACTCCACTCACTCCACTCCACTCTATCTCTTTCACAGCCACACACACTCTCCTCTCCGCTCTCTCCTCTAATCCGGTCGCTCTCTCTCTTCCGGTCTCTGTCTTCTCTCTCTCTCTCTCGTCTTGCAAAGTCCTGTCAGACAGATTTTAATAAATTGGCTCCTTGTGGATGTCAGCATTACACATCTTCAAATGGTGCTTAATCTCGACATAACACCAGGGGTAGCGAGACAGTTGATACAATCAGAGTACATGCAGATACTAAGAAACGTCGGAGGTTGGCTTTATTCTCCGCGATATGACTGAAATGAAGTATTCCTGTTTTGGGAAGTGCCACTTTATCCCAAAGGAAGTGGAAGTAGTGCTGGAGTCTGTTTTCAATTTAAAAGTTTGACAGATTTGAGAGGCTCTTAAGCCATAGAAAATTTAATTAAAGTTACTGTAAGTTAACTGTACTGTGTGAACATATTAGCCAGGGAGGGAAAAACCAGCTAGACTCGCATGCTGCTACACACATTACACTTAATGAGTCAGATTGAAGTTTCTTCCTCTGCTGCACAGATACTTAACTCAGCCTACCAGGCACACGCCCTAGGGCCCAAGGAGTCACCTACAAGACGTCACTGGCACAAAACTACCACCAAGAGACACACAATGACTGTAAAGACCCACAAAATGATACAGATTCAAAATGACCATAAAGAGACTCAAAAAGACAACAGCTGCAAAACAGACTCCAAAGGTGCTAAATGACTACTTAGAGATACACAATGACTACAACAGGATGTGAAACAACTACAAAGATTCTTGTCTCTTTTAGTTTGGGTGTCTTGCCCCTATTGGGGGGTTTGCTCAGGGCCCCATTGTCTCTGAAATTGCCCATGTCAGTGTATCCCATGAGTCACAGAGGTTGAAACAATCAACAAACACAAAACAGCTTCTATCTTTGTTCTCAGTCGCTTTATGTACTTTTTTCCCCAGTTGCTTAAAATCAGTTGGACACCTAAGCAGGTAGCTAAAATCTTTAATTACATCGGTATCATAAGCCCTGGCATTTGGCTTGTGTGTTAAGGCCTGTAGGTGGTAACCAATAGCTGCTCCACTTTAAAAAAGGTTTTAGGAGATTAGATGCACTGAAGTGGGCGAGAGGGAATCTTTTGTGCAAGATTTATGAGCCCTTTATACAAACTTCATCAGACTAAAGCTACGGGCGCTAACTACGGGCGTCCAGCGTGAAAGGTGCAGTCAGTGTGCAGCTGTAAAGGGAAGTGGAGGTGTCTATTTCTGAAAAGTCCTACATATTTCACTGAATGGGTTTTTTTGTAAGTTCTGAAAAGCCTTATACAAAGTTGACATTTTATTCCAATGAACTTCTTTGAATAATTTTTTTAAAGAAGCTGACCATTAATATAAGTGCCTATGATTGACTTATGTGGGCTGTATTGCTGGGGGGAAAGCGGCAAAGTAATGAAAACATGATATATTATTGAAATGTGACTAAAGAAGTGACAGTTGTCGATTTTAATGCTGTGAATTTTATAGATGAGCATATAGACTGAAGTTTCTGACATTTGATCTTAGCCTCAGTCATTCTGACTGCATTCACAGAATTACAGTCTTTAGATGTTTCAAATGATGTGTATACTAACTATATCTCTTCTCCTGTCTGTTTATGCTTCTGAAATTCTTCTGAAAGGTAGGTTTCAAATCATTGACTGCCAAATATTCTTTGAAACATGCACTTTGATTGGACAGCAGGAGAGCAGTTAATAGTACACAGCAGTGCAAATGCTGTAACGTGTTGATGTCAAAGCATGGAGAAATTGGTGTTTCTTCAAAGGTTGTTTGGATGGCTCAGAAAGCTTTTAAAGCAATTAGCAGGACTGAAAGTCTGTTGAATAAAGATCAGACGTCAGGCCAATGACTCCTGATGATGGAAGAGCATTTTCTTTGCAAAGCATTCCTTCTGCAAATGAGTTTTAGCATCAAATTCATCCAAATTACTCAAATACATACATTTTTTAAGTTTGGATTGATACAATGCTGGGGGGGGGGGGTCTGGCCCGGTTCCAGATGAGTGAGTAAGTGCCTTATTCTCACTTGCATCATTGTGCCCCATTTGCATCGGTATCAGCACTCCTGAGCAAGAGTAGACCAGCTCCCCCTTTCACATTACAGATTTCCCCCGGGTGACTATATTCTGCAGCAAATGCTGGTGATGCATCTGCCAAAGCCTGCTCCGTGGACTGAGACCGTGTCCCCACAGCCCACCGCAGACCTGCACGGGCATGCAGCTAAATGAACAGTTATGAGGCTTCCCTCGCCTCGGGCACAGCCACTCCACTATATGGTAACAAGCATTTAACGGCCATTTGATAGCAGGCTGCATACTGCTTTATATACAGTATGTGCAGCACCCGAATCCCCAGTCGTGTGTGACAGCGCTTCAGAGTTCCTAATGACATTTGAACAAATGACCATCTGTGAGGGGAGCTTCCTGAAATACCACCACGATTGTATGCCGTGGACATGCATGCATGTGCAGCTTTGGAAGTGATCGGGAGTGATTCAACAGTCTGTCATAGAGCCACAGCTGGAGGTAATGACCAGGTACCGCACCGTGAACTCATCACCTGGACCCGTGCATCTGCATATGCACCATAAGCGACCGTGATAGTGGATGTGCGCCCTATCGGTCTATGATCCGCAACATCCGTCTGCATGCCGGGCTATCTACTGGGTGCAAACGATATAAGACAATCTGTACCTTTTTACCAAGACCTGAACGAGCTCTGTCATGACAAACTGCAGGATGTTCACACCCAACATTAAGCAAAAGAAGGAGAGAAAGCTTGAGCGACATAAAATACATTAGTCATGTTGCCGATGCATGTAAACATAATCAATTTGCTGAATAATAGCCTTGATGTCGAATTTGGCGCATTAGCAATGATCATTCTCCCATTACTCAATTCACACGGGCTACGCGGATTTTCAGGCTTTTCTCTGAAAGTTTGGTACTGGTATAGCCATGAAGACGCACGGCGCACACCTCAACGGGCGCATGAAGAAAGACTAACAGCATATTTCCCTAATTTTTCAAAACCCTTAATTTCGACCTCAGACTTGAAGCTTAACATCATCCAATGTAACAAACGCAGTGCTGTGGGTAGGATCCACGCACACAGCATACCGTCACTCACAACCACATCTCACAACCACATCTCACATCCAAATATACAGCAGTCTACAGATGTAACAAAAAACACACAAACTAAATGCACGTATGAACATCGCCTCTTTCTACTCACCAAACAGGGTGTTGGCGAAGCCGTACCACATGCAGCCCCCTTTCCCTATGAGCCACCTTCCCTGCGTGCTGGCCGCGAAGCTGAACGGAGTCCCCAGTACGCACACCAGCAGGTCGCTGATGGAAATGTTAATCAGGAGCAGGTTGATGGGCGACCGCAGCATCTTGTAGCGGCAGAAGAGCACGAGCACAAGCAGGTTGTTCATAAGTCCGAAAGTGCCGATGAAGCCCAGGCACACGGCCACTACCAGGTTCCCTGTCGGTGTGAGGGTGGTCCGGTATGAGCCTCCCCTAAGGTGCCCTTCCCCGGCTCCGGCGCACAGAGCGCTGTTGACCCCCGCGCAGCCGCTCAGGCTCGCGTTGGACACGATCATCGCAGTCCAGTGTCACGGCGGTGGCACACTGGGCAGCCGCGGCGCACCGAGCGGCACCTAAAGTGTCGCTGGCATTTTTTTCCCCCCTTTTCCTGTGTTTGGTAAACTAATACATAATAGACAAGCGTGTCGCTCCTAATCAGCGACACCTGTTGCTGTAAAAGAAATGTCAAGTGGAAAAAGTAGAGCCAAACACAAATGTGGGAGAATGAAAAAGTTTGTTTTGCTGGGGATGTCAAAACTTTGTGTCTCAGTTCAGGGGGAAGGGGGGCGGGGGGAAGTTAGAAAATATATTTTTTTTAAAAAAGAGAGAGAAGAAAAGTTTGGATAGTCTTTGCTCCACCGTGTGGCAGTCTATAACGCACACTCGCGCATTCCAGAGAGGCTCCTGTCCCTCATGTAGGCGCCTTCCCTCTCTGTCCCTATTTAAATCACTGTAGCCCGCTCTCCGGCAGCTGACGTCTGGGCAGAGGAGGGGGTGGGAGGGAGATCGGGAGAG